TACATACACACATACCTATCCATAAACCAATCACAATATGAATCGATACCCATACAAGGTGAGGCCCCCAATTAATGTTTGTGCACTTCTAACACCCCGTAACTATTTCGCTATATTCCCCATAAACCATACTTACACAAATTGTTTGCGTCAACTTAAGTCTTGTTCGGGGCCCTCACCTTGCTTGTATAACATGTATTTCAGGAGGTTTACTATAACCGTAAATTTGGTTGTAATAACAAAATTTGGATCTAAGACCCATCCATCATTTGGATCCTCGTGCTGAAAAACATATATATTTATATCGATGACATCCATGGTTATGTTATAACTATAAAAATTCATATGTCACAAATCTTTAATATTGATTGGATGCTACCCTCTGGTTATGACTAACATAGCCATGGTGTAGATGGCCCATAGAAATAGATGGTTTACCGAACTTCAAAATGGGTGGATTTTCCATGGCTATGTTAAATAACCGGATGATATATCAACAGATGTTTTTTTGATTGGGAGGTACCCATAGATACTCATAACCAGCTGATATATCATCCAATCTTTAATATTCATGGTTCTTTATCATCCATGGTTATGTTATATCCTCTGGTTATTTAACATAGACCCTGAAAATGACTAATTTATAGTGGAAACTAGTCTTCCAACCCCGATGACTGGCAGGGTCTATGTTAATTTACCAGAGGGTAACTCTAAAGATTGGATGATAGATCAACAAATCCGAATCCAAGACCCCCTGGATCCCCACAGGCCAGCTATCGGCTGAAGCCACCGCAAGCGCCCTGCAGCTCCGTCAGGTGGGATTTACCGATTGAAAAAAAATGCGTTAAAAAACGATGAAAACTGGCGATTCAAGTGTGAAACATCGGGATTTTCCCCGTAAAAAACGTGTTTTCAAATGTAAATATTGTGATTGGATCACGAAAATTGTGATTGAACCAACAAGAATGGTGGATTGCATGAGTGCGACAGCAAAAATTGGCCAATTTTGCTAAGAGAACATGGTATTTAACTAGCAAAAACCAGAATGGGGATCTAAATATGGATTGGACTATCAAACATCAAAATTTATCCATCAACAAAATGAATTTCATTATTGATTCTTCGATCACAAAATACAAACAAGGATTTGATTGATGATCCATTTTCCATATTTTGTTGATGGATAAATTTTGATTCTTCGATCACAAACTAGATTTTAATCAATGCGCAAATACACACGTCTCAAAGAGGATGCAAATATGAACAGATCCACAAGGCCAGAATTGTGTAACCATAAAAAGTAATACCTTCCCTCGACAATAACGAATGCCCCGCAGAAAACCTAGTGTTTTCGTTTCAAAAATTGATTTACTTTTGGTTTTTTCCCCCTTTATTCATTGGGAAAAACCAATGGTGTTTAAACCGCATTCAACAGTTCACTGAAAATGATGATGAACATTTTGGTTGTCATGTTAGTTGCGGGGGTGGTATATACGCTATAGGCCCTATATGTATATATCTACACAAATATATGTATATATATATACACTCAATGTGGGGCCCCGCAGTTACAAGTTGGTTTATAAATCCCATGAATACCATAGTTATAAATATCATAGAACATCGTGAAATTGGAGGTATGTTCACCAACTTAGCGATCATAAATCAGCAATCAGCAACAAAAATCCAATGGAATCCTAATTTTTCTTGGTTAGATAATAATTTTCCTATAGTTTCATCTTTAGATTTTGGGGCCCCATATATATATATATATATATATATCCCAGCCGTCCCTGTCCGCCAGATGCAAGCTGAACTGGACAAAACCAGGCGGCAGCTTGAAGAGGAACGGCAGGCGCGGAGAATTCGAACTCTTGCAGCGCGCAAGTGGGGAAGAGAGGAATAGATGTATAGTGATATATATATACATACATATTTACACACACACACACATTTATATATATACATAGATTGTAGATACAGTTGATTATGCATATATAAATCATTTAATCGATCAGTGGGCTCGCTCTGCCATCCATGATTCACAGCAACCAAACTCTCCTATAGTCTTTCCTATCTTTGAAACTTCCGCCACCGCCTTGTGCGGTATTACTGGTAGGAATTAAACGAGGATTGACCGGCTCAGGTCTCGCAAAAGTATCGAGAACTGTTGGTGAGCCAGCGTGCAGCAGCTGGGTTTGCGATCGGTAAAAACCGTTTGGGTACCCCGGAGACGCCTCCCAACGTCATGGAAAATTTGGAGGGGTTGAACATGGTAAATTGTCAATAAAAATGGAACATTGAACTTGTAATTTTCATGGTAAATTGTCAAAGATAGTCTTGTCATGGTTAAACATGTTTATTCCCAGAGTGAAAAGGATCTTCAAATCTTTGAAATACACTGTACGACGGAAGTTTTCTTCAGGCATTTCCAAGACTGAAAAGTGTACTCCTCCATTGTGGAGACGGAGTTTTGGTTCTGCAACGGTTGCAGCCCTTTCCCCGCATGACACTGGATGTGAGATCATACTTAGTTGGGCACTCCCTGAAAAGCTGGATGATTCTTGGCAAGTTCCAACATTCATGGGTTATTTGTACGCATATATATATACATATTGTGTATATATATATATGGTATATATATAAGTATACATGCGTACAGTGTCTATTCTTACATGTATAGATATACTGCATATCATCATTCCGTTTCTTCTGAATCCGATTTTTGATAAACAAAACTTAGACTGCGAACTTCTGATTTCCCAAGGCGTACACGCAGGAGATCACGTCGCTGCAGAGCAACAACGACCATCTGAGTCACGAGATGATGGACCTAATCCAGGAGAGTGATCGATTTCTCCACGTCTGAGTGGTGGAATGGGGTTTGACCAACAAAACTCTCCATGAAAAACCATGTTTTTTACCATTCAAAATGCGAAATTTTGGGCGCTTCATGTATGATTCGTAGACGAAGTAGACCAATAAACATCATGATTCCAGCAGCACAGATGTGGACATCTGCCGGCAAAAACGATGCCACATTGCCTCACTTAGAGGGTTTGAGCCCACGCAAACGTAGGTATCATCACCATCACAAAAACATTGGGTAATCATGGCTACAAATCATTTGTAGAAGATATCTCTCCCCAGTCACTAGTGACTTGATCATCATTGAAAGCAGCCGCCGACGGGTACTTTCTTTTTCTTCACCAGGGTCTCTGATGATTGCAGCTATAGTTACTATAGTTAGATAGGGTTTTCTCAGCTAACGGACATAACTGGTTGGTGGTTTGGAACATTTTTATTTTTCCATATATTGGGAATAGTAACGCCAACTGACTTTCATATTTTTCAGAGGGGTAGGTCAACCACCAACCAGATAATGTTTAGGGGACCTATTGCTTCACCACAATGACTTGGCTGTTCAGATATCCATGAAGTGAATTGTGGTTGTCTCGGAAAATCCATGGAGCCCCAAAACTCAAGACATCCCGATTTCCATGGTCATTTTTGGCTATCGATTCATCCCTTTCTGGATCCAGGCTCGGAAAAAGTCAACACATGTTGTTGAATACTTAGAATGAATCGAAGCTTTAGATTTCAGTCCAAGGTTTGGGTTTGAAAAGAACAACCCAGCTTTGAAACAACGGGTTGTTTTAGTTTTCTCCACTTTTTCCAGCGTCAGAAAATTTTTTCCGGAGGACTTGGAGAGAACCTTGTCTTCTGCACTGGAAGGAAAGACAGATGAGTTAGCTACTTGCCAAGTCGATAGCGGCCGAGTCGAGGTCGTGGGTCGCGGGTCGTGGGTGGTAAATCCGCATGAAATCATGATTTTTTGGGTTTGTGTCAGATCCCTGTTATCCTTCTGTTCCCAGCACAATTGCTGGTGTCTCTGAGTCTATGCATGTCAATCCATGTGGGGGTTTCTTAAAATTGTGGATCCCCAAAACTAAGGGTTCCTAACATGCTCTAATTTTGGATGATAGTTTTGGTCCCCATTTATTTTCGGTCACTTCCATGTCAATCCATGGTAATCCCTCAATAAACATATGGTATATTATAGCTATTGAGCCCTTCCCAGATGCTGAAGGACTGGCGCTCAACAGCATGTTGACCTGGTAAACTAACAGTTTGCGAAGCCGTAGCCCATTGAGTGAACGATGATCCATTTTTTACATGGTGACTTTAAGTCGAGTTATGTTAGTTTACTAGAAACCACTGAGGTTTTCCTACATCTCAGGTGAGGCCAGGAAATTTTCACCATGACCACTGAGGCCACTATGAAGCGCGTCCTCTCCGAGCGCTGTTTGGAAGCCGCGTCCCTTGACGTCGTGTTGTGGTTGCGAGCCGGTTATGTCGCGTGGTTATAGAAACCTACGTAGATGGAGTTTGTAATGGTTGGCAAGCGTCATATCTTATGATATATATATGGATATATATATATGACATACTATACATATGTATATGTTATCTGTATGTATGGATATGTCTATGTATATGTATATGTATATGTATATGTATATGTATATGTATATGTATATGTATATGTATGTATTTGTATGATCCCGTCCTCCGGCCACCAGTCCCCCTTCCTGGGGTACCACGGTACATTTAGCCTATCTACCCATGCCATGCACTATACCCTATATATATAATATAATATATTCTGATATATACTCTATATCTATATATATATGATATATATATATATGATATATATATATATATGATATGTTAAGTAACAACATTGTCCAACACACAATTCGTGTACAGTTCAACAGCTGCTGGATGTCACTGTCAACATTATGGATCAACAGGCCTTGAGCCTGAGACTGTTTGCCAACAGTACAAAAGAGTGAGAGCGCACAGCATCAGCTGCAACATTGATTCAACAGAGCTGCCTGAATCTTTTCATGGTAGCGGAGCAGTGATCCTGGAAGCATCCAGGTGAGCTCCAACAGGAAGAGGGCTTGATCCCAGAACACTGGGGGACTCTCAACAACAGCTGGAGCAACAAAGGGTAGCAGCCCAACACACCACCACTGCAACGACAAGGTAAAGAAACAAACTCAACAACAAGGTGCGCAGGAAGAGGGCTTGATCCCAACTATACAGTGTGGGGGACCCTCAACAACAAGGATGGCGACGGCACATGAGATAGGATCGCCAACAGCAGGAGAAACACAAGCAGAAGCCCTAGCATCAACACACAGGCTGAAGTTGAAACCTCCAACATATGATGGCAACTATGCAACATTCGAAGAGTGGAAGTACAAGTTCTCAGCATACATGGGCCTACAGGACAACATCTTTCCACAACTGCTTTCAAGAGCAGAAAGAGCAACAACAGTGCTCACAGATGCAGAGCTGCTCGGTGCAGCCTCAACAATAGAGCAAGGAGAGAAATGGACACAACTGTGCAACAACCTCAAATACATACTCATTAACATCACCAGCGGCCCAGCAGCAACAATATGCAGACAATACCAAGACGCAATGGGCTTAGAAGTCTACAGGCAACTGTGCAACAGGTTTGCAATACCTGTTGGAACAAGAAGCATAGGCTACCTCACAAAGCTACTCAAACCCAAGTTCGACACCAACAACTTTGAGGAGTCCTTCTCAACATGGGAATTTGAGCTTGCACGTTACGAGCGTGACAACAATGCACAACTACCAGACCAAGTGAAGATAGCAGTTCTCATGAATGAGACAACAGGACCACTCCAACAACACTTACACCTCAATGCCAGCGCAACACCAACATATGCTGAAGTGAGGACAACAATCATGGAGTACTACAGAACCACAACTGCGTTCTCAAGACTTCAACAACAGTCGTCTTCAGCAGTCAGCAGTAACTTAGGAGGAGGCCCAGCTCCAATGGATATTGGAGCAACATACAAAGGCAAAGGAAAAGGAAAAGGAAAGAGCAAAGGAAAAGGATTCAACAAAGGAGGTCACAAAGGAAAAGGATACCAACAAGGAAAAGGCTACGGAGGCTACGGCAGTTACCACAAAGGAAAGGGCAAAGGAAAACAACAGCAATGGTATCAGCCAAAAGGAGTAGAGAAAGGAAACAAAGGAAAGTCGAAAGGAGCTCACAACAAAGGAAAAGGAAAGAATCCAACAGCAATATGCTACAGATGTGGTCGACAGGGCCACTTGGCAAAGGATTGCCGAACAGCGGTGTACAACATGGCAGAGACACCACAGGAACAGGACCAGGATGGAACATCCCAATGGTATGACCCAAACAGTGGGTATGACAACTACTGGTACAGCAACGACCAGTCAGGCAACTATAACATCCAGCCAGCCCAGCAACAACAACAACTAGCTTTGCCAGCGCCACAAACCACAACGCAGACACCAACAATACAACTTGTGGGAGCACTGGGCCATCAGGCAGCAAGTGCCCACAATGAAGCAACCACCACAGCTCAAGCAGTGCAGCAGCAGAGAGGAGACAACGAGGTGGACGTTATGATCGACAGTGGAGCAGCAACACACGTTTGTCCAACATGGTTTGCACCAGACACACCACTGTATCCACTACAACAAGGACAAGGACCTAGGTTGAGGACAGCAACAGATGAGGATATCTCAGTGCATGGCTACAAATGGGTGTACATGCACAACACCAACAAGCAAACAATAGTTGTTCCCTTCTATGTGTGTGATGTGACGCAACCCATCATGTCAGTAACAAGACTGGCAGAACAAGGGTTCAACACACAACTTAACGAAACACCAACAATCACACACACCAAGGGATTCAACTCAGCACTCAAACAACGAGAAGGCCTATACTTCTTGCCAGTTGTGCTGATCACACTTCCAGCCAACTTGAGGCTTGAAGTCAACCAGACAGCAGAAGGAACAACAGCAAGAATAGCACCAGTCACACTGACTCCAACAGGCATGGAAGTCCTTCGCAACAAGAATGACCTATGGACATTCAACAGCCAAGGTTTCTTGGTAAGAGTCCACAGGACAACACGCAAGGCATTGTTCATGCCAGACACCAGATGTCCAGTTCCAACAGAAAGGTTGGAGAACTACAGAAGAACAATCATACAAAGACCAAACAACAACACAGAGGTCATCGAAGAAGCATACCAAGACCTCGACAAGAAGCAACAAAAGAGGACTATACAAGGAAACAACTGGACAGGAGAAACATGGTTCCAAGTGAAACGTGGAACAGTACTTCCAGGCAACATACCACCACCACCACCAACACTTCCACCAGCCAAAGAGCCAGCGACACCATCTCAACAAACCACAGTTGACCAACCACAAGCACCAATGTATCGACACAATGTGAAGAAGCCTCTCACAGAGGTAAGGCCAACAGGTCAAGCAATGACCACAACGCAGCCATATCAGACAGCAATTCCACATCCAAAGGAAGTCAGTCCAACGCAGGACTATTGGATCAAGGAAGGTCCATATTGGAAACGTGTGCATGTCCAACCAAGAAGGGACATGTACATTCCACAACAAGCAGATGATGGACCAGACGTGACAAGACTGACAACATGGAGACAAACAATTGTGAAGCCAACAAGTGGCAACAGAGGATATAGAATAGATGATGACTGGACGACAAAGAGGAAAGCAACACTCGACATAGAGTGGACAGGCTCAACAAACTTTGAAGAAAACGCAGCATACAAAGATGAGTTCATCACAGATGAGCCAGAGGAGCAACAAGAAGCCAAGAGAGCAAAAGGAGTGCCAACACCACAACAACCAACAGAACAAGAAAGAAGAGAACACGAGCTCACACACCTTCCCTACAGAAGCTGGTGTCCAACATGCGTACAAAGCAAAGGAAGACAGGACAACCATCCAAAGCAAACAAGCAAAACACCAGTGATCCAAGTGGATCTGATGTACTACAAAGCATTAGGAGAAAAGCAAGCAACATCAGTCCTTACAGCAGTGGACGTTGAAACAGGCATGTGTATGGCAGTCCAACTTGAGGACAAGACACAGCACGTACAATACCTGTCAGTTTGCCTTCAACAATTCCTGATGGAATGTGGCAGAACACATGCAATTCTCAACAACACCGTTCTTCAATCAGACCAGGAAGACTTTATCATCTCCTTGCTCAAGATGGTGGCAACAGCCATGGGCAGCAACATAGCAGTCAGGCAAGCACCTGCCTACACATCACAAGCACAAGGAAGCGTTGAACGTTTCCACAGAACATTGATGGGCCAAGTCAAAGCTCTCAAACTCCAACTGGAGACCAACTATGGCATCAAGCTCAACAGCAAGCATCCCATCATGCCGTGGCTTGTCGAACACGCAGCATACCTGCTCAACAGGTATTCCATCCCCTCAGATGGAAACACAAGCTACTATAGACGATGGGGTAAAGAACACAAAACACCAATATGTGAATTTGGTGAAACAGTTCTTTACATGTTACCAACAGCAAAGCAGATGCCAAAGATGGAAGCAAGGTTCTACCCAGCCATTTGGCTAGGTAAGGACAACTCAACAAACGAGAACATACTTGGCATCAGCAACAAAGTGGTCAAAGCAAGGACCATAAGAAGACAAATAAAGCCAGACAAGCACAACAAGCAGTTGATGGACATCATCAACTCTTCGCCAGCCATGATACCACCAACAACACCAAGCATTGTGGTACTACCACAAACTGCTGCAGCAAAGCAGCAGACAACAACAAGTACACAGACTCAGCAGAGTCCACAACCAAAAGCCTTGGTACAACCACACATTACACCACCACCAGCACTTACAGACCTTCCAATGGCAACAGCGCCAGCAACTCAGCCAGCAAGGCAGCCAATTCCATTGCCGACACAAGGCAAAAGAGAAGTAGCAGATGAGATTACACAAGGCAGCTCACCAAAGCAAGCAAGGACAACAGAAAGAGCCACAGCAGCCAGCCGACCTGACACCGCTCAGGAGCCACCAACAACAAGGATGAGGATCTCACAAGTCACAGTCACAACGAAGAAAGGACAGAAGATAGAAGCAACCTCCAACGAAGATGAACAGGAGATACAAGCTGAAAATATTCTCCTGGAACCTTGGGTGAACAACACCGAAGGTTTAGACAAGGAACAAACAATAGAAGGAATGAAACAAGAAATCAAGTCAATGAAGGAACAAGGTGTATATACAGAAGTACACATCAGCCACCTCACCCCAGAACAACGCAAGAAGATCATCAAGTCAAGATGGGTTCTTCGACAGAAAGGCAGCACAGTGCGAGCAAGGATAGTAGCAAAAGGATACACAGAGGAGATCAATGACAACGACGACATCTTCGCGTCAACACCAATCTTCTGCGTTCTGAGGATGCTACTCGTCTTAGCACTTTGCAACAACTGGATCTGCCTCACAGGAGACATCTCAACAGCCTTTCTACATGCCGCAGCAGCAACAGCAGATCTCTTTATGTATCCACCAGCAGAGTTCTACAACGCCTTCGATCAAATCGTTTGGCGACTCAACAAAGCCATCCATGGCTTACGCAGCAGCCCAAAAGCATGGCAAAATCACCTGGCAGAGGTGATGCAACAACTTGGACTACGACGACTTGTCAGCGAGCCCAACGTCTACGCAACACCACAGGGAGATGCATACATACTATGCTACGTCGACGACCTGCTCTTCATTGGACAACAGGAGACGGTTCACAAGCTGTTCAAAAGCATTCAGCAACACCTTCTACTCCGTCCAACAGGAGAACTCACAGTCGGCAACACCATCAGCTTTCTGGGTAGAAACATCTGCAACAAAGGTGACTACTACGAGATCAGCTTAGCAGACAGCTACACAACACAGCTGCTGGAAGAAGCCAGCATGCTCAACTGCAACTCAACACCAGCACCAGGCAACAATACTCTGAAAGCAACATCAGAGATGGAACAAGAACTCAACAAAGAAGAACATGCAGCCTACCGAAGAATGGTTGGCAAGCTACAATGGATGACCTACACAAGGCCAGACATTGGCTTTGCAACAAAGGAGCTTGCAAGAGCTCTGACACAACCAACAACAGCAGACCAGCAGAAACTGAAACACTTGCTCAGGTACATCAAGGGAACACAACACTACAAACAATACATAAGACCAACAACCAAGACACCAACAGCTGAAGCAGTACCAGACATCCAAGTCTTTGTCGACAGCGACTGGGCAGGATGTGCAACAACGAGGAAGTCAACAACAGGATTTCTGATCAAAGTCTTTGGAGCAACAACCCACTACGGAAGCAGAACACAGGCAACAATAGCGCTGAGCAGCGCGGAAGCAGAACTCTATGCAATCAACACAGGAGCAACAGAAGCACTCCACATCAGCAACTTCATGAAAGAAGCTCTCAACATGAAGAAGATCAACATCCGCATACACACAGACTCATCAAGCGGAAAGAGCATGGCAACAAGAATCGGAGCATCAAAGAAAGCCAAACACATCGAGCTCAAGCACCTTTTTATACTACAACTGGTCGCACACGATCTTGTGAGGATTGTCAAGATCAACACGACCAACAACCCGGCCGACATTTTCACAAAGTACGTTGCAACAGAGACGCTTTTGCGTCACATCAGTGATGTTGGCATTAGCACCCAGCATCACTGAACAGACAACAACAACCAGCAACAGAAACAGTCTCACTGCAGCATATGCGCGTTAATGTGCGAGCGCGTGTACAACGTGCGAACATCGTGCGTGGCGTACACACACAAACATACATTTCCTTTTGAGCCATGGTGTCAACAAAGGTTGACAACATGAACTATGTCATAGTGATCACCTATACTTCATCATGGAGTATATCAACAATATCTGTACAATATCCCAACATGATTTTCGATATGGACTATACCAACGTTACGGTACCTACAACGTGAAGTATACGTACATGTCCTGTACAGCATGTCTGTGAAACACAACATGTCTTTTTTGCAAGGTTTGAAGAATTCAACAGTTTGACTTGCAGTCTTGTTGATGTCAACATTTTGCTGACCAACGGTGACCGCAACATTCCTCTGTTTTGATCGCAGCCGTTCTTTTGCTCCAACATTGGCGGACAACATCAACGTTTTTGACCTTGAGAATGGCAGCACTTCTCAACATCCATATGCAACAGTTCCGGTGATTCCCAAGATGACCATGACAACACTGGGACTCCTGACCCGTGCGGTCAACATGTCCCAAGTGTCCAATCCCACCAACATGGGACCGGACGATTACAACGTGGCAGCCCATGATGCCGACAAGGATGTATGGTGGTTGGCATTGCCAACAGAACTGTTTGGGGCAATGACGCCTGAGAGATTGAGGGGCAACATGGCACTGCTCGAGCACATCAACAGCAACACAAATGTTGCGCGCTACATCGAGGAATTCAACAACTACCACGGCGCAACATCAATCAACAACCGATGATGATCAACAGATGGAAGGATGAGACGTCATCCAACAGGTGAGACTGGCACCTCAACCAGCAGTCTTTGGATCTTCAGCAGATCCCTGCGCAACAAGAGGTTCAAACGTGAGAGCCGGGAATGCGCAAAATTAGATGAGTGTTTGATCAACATCTGCGGCTGGGCAACAGATGTAAAACTACAAGCCATCAGCCCTGTACAGAGATCAACACCTAATCCAATAGTATCAACATAATGTGATTGCGTTTCAACAATGTTTGTTTTGTGCAATGTGTTGGAAGCTCCAACAAATTGAGGGGCCGTGTTAAGTAACAACATTGTCCAACACACAATTCGTGTACAGTTCAACAGCTGCTGGATGTCACTGTCAACATTATGGATCAACAGGCCTTGAGCCTGAGACTGTTTGCCAACAGTACAAAAGAGTGAGAGCGCACAGCATCAGCTGCAACATTGATTCAACAGAGCTGCCTGAATCTTTTCATGATATATATATATATTATATCATACTCTCTCTCTCTCTCTCTCTCACTCTACATATATATATATATATACACCCCTTTCCTGACATACCCACCCCCACCCTCAGGGGGGGAGAGGATCATCACTACCTTTGCTCCTTGATCAAATATCCCTGGACGAAGCCATAGGGCTTCGACGCGATTTTCTGAGCTTCGCTGTGCGGGATTTTTCCAGTGTGGTGTGTTTTCCCGGAAAAAACTTGAAATCATCTCAAGTTATCCGAAGTTTTCATGATGGATTAAATCATATTAAATCTACTTGGGATTTTTTTTATCCTGTTTCATGATGGATTGGATGTGACCAGGACGCCGGGCCCTGTGGGCCCTGTGGGCCCCGTGGGCCCTGTGGGCCCTGTCCTAAAATCGGAGAAGAGTGAGCGTCCCTTGGTGCAAAAAGAATGGGGGGTGGATTATAGGGACCTTAAACTAATAGATCATACCATGATAGCAAGGGAATATTTTCTAATCAATGGATAATTATCATGGATGATATCATGGATTTGTTTCCGGGATAATATCATGATAGCAAGGGGATGAACAACTAGTCAATTATCATGTTTGGGATGATATTGGGGATCATGAACTGACCCCTAACGGTTGACCGGACAGCTATCAACGATTCTTTTGAAAATGAGATGGGATAATATTTTGATAATGTGACTGGGATATTGATAATACTTATTATATTTTTTCTATCATTATCATGATTGGGAAAATATTTTGAATGGCTCGAAGCTCGTCAGTTGACTGCGAAATGAAAAAAGATGAGTATCTTCGTATCTTGGTGCTTGCGCTATGCCAGCTTCGCCAACTTCGCTGCAGGTCTCATACCAAGCTGGAACGAGATGCTTCGTGGCTGGGCAGATTCAGTGGCAGATCCGTTTCCATTGGACACTACAAAATGGCAGGGAAACGATGGCAGGGTATTCGAGAGTTCATCCAATTTCCATCGTTTCTTTCTAGTCAAAGTTATAACCGCATTTTCCCAGTTTGTAGAATGTCCATAACTTGAGGTATACAACCCATTTCCAGTCACACCGAACTATCATATTGATGCTTGTCTATTAGATCCAATTTCCATCCCCAATTCCCCATGAAACATCTCCATCTTCACCCAGCCCGTTGCCCCGTTGCTGGCACAGCACAGGCCATGCCTTCAAAGATGACGACGGCTCCAGCATCGGTAGCGTCGTGACACGCTGCGCCTCCTCCCTCTCCAGTTCTCAAACCTCGCTCTCCGATGCGTTCCTGGACGTTTCGTTTTGGGAGGGGACTGGACATTTGACGATGATAAACAGTTGGTGGGTTGGTGAGTTGGTGAACAGAACTACAAACACTATGATAAGCATGGTAGATGTATCTGTTAATGGATTTATAAACCAAACAAAACTGTTCACGGTGATTTTCTACATGTTGAATTACTGGCAGTATTTTTGTGATTTGCACCAACAGCATTGCTGTGCCTTTGCCCTGAGATGGTGAAGCCACTGGTGGTAGGTCTTAGCCGCAACCGAAAAAAGTTTGATATGTGGGTTCAAAACTAGCCGCAGTTTTTATGGGGAATTCGATTTGGATATCAATCGCAACAGCAAGCCGTCAGGGTTCCAAAATTGGATGATACCCTCTGGTAAACATACAAAAAACTAAGGAACATCACCATTTTTGATAGGTAAATCCACTATAAATGGACCATTTTCAATACCCTCTGGTAATTTAACGTAGCTATTGAAAATGACCATTTATAGTGGATTTTCCCATTAAAATTCCATAGTTATGTTAGTTTACCAGAGTGTAGCTATGTAACAAATTACCAGAAGGTAGACTCCCATGGCCACTGGCACCCGGGCTTTCAGGGTCACCAAATGAGTCGCGGATGCGTGAACCTTCGATCATTTCCCTAGCTTTTTCAGTCCTACCGGTAGAACCAGAAACGTGCATTGTTTGGGGGAAGTCTTGAGAAGGTCAAGTACCATGGGCCATGGCTATGTTTGTTGGTCACCACGGATGTGTCATGTAGAATACTGCTGAATCTGGCGATGAAGATCCAGAAGCAAATAAATGCCACCTATTTTGCCACCAGGACACTGATCGGGTTGTCACTGACCCCATCCGTGGCACCATTTTTTGTTCTCAGGTGATCTATGCACAGCAACTTTAATGGTTTCCGGGTATTATTATTGGCACACCCAGCAGTGCGGCACGTGGCGTTTGGGGCTCAGTTGGAAGAGCACAGTCGGCAGCGGAGATCGTATGTGCCATGATGTGCCATGATGTGCCATGATGTGCCATGATGTGCCATGATGTGCCATGATGTGCCATGGTCAAAGTTGAAGTTCTGGTTTTTCGGGGGATGGTCATCGACCCATTTGTAGGGCTTAGTATACCCATAATTTTGGAATTCCTATCGTAGTGGTGGGATGACCATAAACCATGTACCATGCTTTGACCATGGTACATGTGAGGGTCTGACAATCGGGTATCATGTGTCCCCATAAAATGTTCGGTGATATAATAGGAATTACGATGGTAAACCGGAGTAGCCCTCCAATTTGTAACAACGTTTCCACGTCTATATAATAAATACATGTAGTATCCCCAGCTGCCTTTTCCTAACAGTGACTATTGGGTTTCAATCTCTGGGTCTGGGAGTGGTGCGCTAGTTGCCGAACCCACAAAATCGAACCCGAAACCCTGGAACCTTGGAACATGTGGAACCTGCGGGTTGCAAAGCTGGGTTACCCTCTGGTAAACTAACAGTTTGCTATAGAAAATGGCCCATATATAGTTGATTTACCTATTAAAAAATGTGATTTTCCATAGCTATGTCACAAATTACCAGAGGGTAAGTTCCCAGAAATTCTTGGGTGAATTCTCATTTTAGTTGCTTTGATCCAGATCTGCCATGATGCCGGCCCAAGGCCATTGTTGACTGCGTGGTCGTTTCACCCACGTGTTGCGGACGTGATCTTTGCCGAAGTCTTGGTGGAACGACTTGTTATCGAATGTCCAACCAGGAATGACGGATATGTGTCAAAAGCCAACAATTAGAGACTTCACATAGTTCTGAAAGCACTTGAGACTCAAACCTAGAGATCCTAGAGTCGAAAAACCAAAGGAAAAGGCCTTTTGTGAGTTAAACAACACCTCTCTCTTTTGAGACGCCTCGGAAAACCGGTGGTGTTTTGCCTTGACGTCCTTATATCTTATGTGGCACGCGATGACGCTGCCTTTTGAAGTGCGACCAGCGGTTGCGACGGCCCGACGGCCCCTGCAAGCAGCGGCAGAGTGGTGCTTCTCTCCCCCCGGGTTGTGCATTTGGGCTCGCCGGAAAGCTCCCATTTGCGCAGCTACATGGAAAGATGAAGGGGGAAGTAAGGATAGAAAACCTTCTTAAATGGTGATTGATCCGGAATTACATGTAATTACTGCAGTGCAAATTCCAGCAGAAACTTTGCTGTTTTCGATGGTGTCCATAGCCATCTGATCTTGCTCCGGAAGTAGCACGATGCCTGACTCTTGCAAAGGAGCACCGGGAGCGCCAGCGCCAGATCCTGATGATTCTGCAACTGAAAAACTCAAAAATTTCAGGAATGGATCAACACAAATGTTTTATGTAGCGGACTAGCGGATTTTGGTATTTTTTTTCAGCATTCACTGGCATTCACCATCCAGTTTTTGGGATTTTTGACCCATACCCACTTCACAATGAACATGGAAACAAAGTGATGGTCTAGACCAGCTCTGCTTAGCTTGAGATCCATTCTGTTGGATTTGTAGGTCAGTACAAGTTGCAACAATGCATGTATATGTATACATATATACGCACATTTATTCATGTATTGAACTTATCTATGAGAGAGATATATATATATACATGAACCTGTATCCATGTCCATGTCCATGTATATGTATATATGTATGTAGATGTCCATGTATATGTATATGCACATGTACATGTATTTGTATACCTGTCCAAAGAACCATTTGTCGCTCTGCTTCATACCAAGGACCTTTTGTAGCTCTGTAGCCTAGCTGGTGCTGCCTAACACTCCAGGTGCAACCAATCCTCAAGGTACAGTCTCGAAGAGCTGTCGTTTGAGCAGTGAATCATTCGACGAATTCGTTTGCAATGAGGAATACATGCCAAATGATCTGCACGTCGATCATAACAATGTATCTTTTTGTTGTTCTTTTAACCGAGATTATCATCATTGTTACTACTATTTGTAATTTATTTTTTCAATGGCACAACACGTGATATCATGCTTATCAGGATGCGAAACAAACACAGAATTAGTGCTGAGGTATCCACATGGTACTGCCCGGCTTCACCCTTTCATTTTCCATGTTAAAACACTTGATTCCTACAAGAAATCCAGACACAACTTGGCATTCATTGTCCTCCAAACATCTTGTGTTTTGTGTTTTTTTTCTCGCTCATTTTCACTCCTGACTCCATAAAACACCAATTTTTTGGCTGCTTCGGGTGGTTTGAACCGACCACTGAAATCCAGGCAGAGGCCCCATGTTTGATGGTCTATACCACCCATAAAAATGGTGATGACTGGGGGACGGTTTATGATTGTTTTAACCACATTATTGCATTAACTATGATTGTCCACATATTGTCCACATATTGTCCATATATTTTAGCTGACCTAGTTGAGGTTGGCCAACTATTTTGGCCCGAAATAATTATCAAAAACGGTGGCTAACTTTTGGCCAAGCGTTATAGGGCCAACTTGCTTGCTATTCTCGTTTGTAAGAGACTCCCTACGTTTGCAATAAATCCCCAAGTTTCTTTGTTAACTCTATTTTTCGTTGGTAGCATCCACAGATTCGTTGGCAAGCTGGGCAGCCTTTCTTAGTAACATCGCACAGTTCAATCTCCATTTTGCTTAATAAAATCAAAATAAAGCCATTCGCATCATGATTTTGTCAGTTTTCTGCATCTCAATCTTACATTGAGTCTTACATATTTGTCTTACATATCTGACTTTGTGGTATATGTCAAATCCCATTTTTTGGGTCGAAACATCGACGAGTTCTGCGGATCGCTAATTGGACGCTGCCTCCAGAAGGCTGCGACACAGGGTGGGAGCCCTATGAACGGCTGAAAGTCTTGGATTTTTTGGATAATGTGTAGCAAAGATCAAATGGAAGGGATACATTGGATACATTGGATACATTGGATGTCCTATTGTTGTTGTCAACAGCTTTTTTTTTCCCAGATCTGTCTGAAAACGGTTGGAAGTTCCGCTGTTCCCTCATCCCAGCGTTGTGTTCGCGCGCCAACCAGGATAGTTCTGCCAAACTCACAGCGTCCTGGATGCCTGCGGAGAGGCTCACCCGCTGACATCGTTGCTGGAGCTCAAGATGCATCCCTGCGACCCAAATGGCGGGGCCCATGGAGTTCGATGATTCACTGGCTAAAATGGCGGTGTTTTTGTCCATTGCTATACCGGTGAGCACAGGGTAACATAGAAACAAAGACATGGGAGGATTTTGAGGATCTGGTGCGCCAGAAATGGATCTGGTGCCAAATGCCATAAATTCATTGGATAGTCGAGTTATACCCACAGTTAGTGGGATAAAGATGGGTTATATATGGATTATAAACCACTTCCTATACACATCTGGGGTTCCCCCGCACTTCGCTTTATGGACTTTCATCGCTTAGAAAAAACAACACCATCCAGGCTGGTGAACTAGCCCCTTTTTTTGCTCAATGCCACTAGTAAATGGTCAAATCTACCACTTGTTCTGCAGAAAACAATGTTTTTATTCCAATTTTCATGCTTGAATCGTAATTTTGGATGATGAAAGCCACATTCTTTTAGGGTGAAATCCATCTTGTTGATGTTTAAATTTCATCATTTCTATGCAGAAATTCGCTTTACAGGACCCCGATGGATTTGGCGCAAGCAGGGAGGCTCCTGAGCCGTTTGAGGTTGTTGTGAGCGTGAAAGTTCCCCGGAAACCGTCCGTGCATTGCGAGTGGATTCTCCTGGTGGTGAGACTTCGAAGACTTCGAATCTCCAGATTCGTTGAAGTTGAAGTCCAAGTTCAGTGACTAGTGAAATGCCAGGTTTCCCCATTCTTAGACATTGATTTATGATGGATTTCTAGATATTTCAAGTGATTTCCAGATATTTCCAGATATTTCAAGTTTCCCCAGTTCTTTTGTTTCCTTAGACATTGGTTCACCGTAAAACTCATTTTGGTCGTCATCCCATGAAGAAAAAACTCACCACCAGACGTGGCGTGCGGCCGCCCGCCTGGCTGTGCATAGGGATCTCGTCACAGCCGCTTAGGAGTGGTTTATAAGCCGTAACTGGGGTGTAATATGGTATAGTATGATTATATATATATACCATATATGTATATATATATACCTTATATATATATTCCTATATATATACACACCTTACATATATATAGAGAGTATGAATATATATGATGAAATATACCTTATCCATCAATATCCTTATATTATATAATGACTTGGGGTACACCTCCCTATCAGCCTGGGTTGATATTACGGTAAAGCCAAGACCATAGACTGCCATAGACCATCCCCAATTTTAGCAGAAATGGGTGGTGTCTACAATGAAGAATTGGAGCTTTGTGCTTTTAGGTTAGCATATTTATCCACCAAGTGAGCAACATTGAGGTGCTACTGTTTGGGTAAAGTGCTTCTTAGGTTTTGTTGGTAACGTTATACTTCTCACGAATCACAGAAACCCAAACAATGACCTCCCTCTACAAGAACCCCCAAAGGTCAGCAATCTGGCACTACAGCAAGGGTTATGGACGTTTTGCTGATTACCTTGCCAATCAGCGGTGACCAGCCATTGCAACACAGAACTCACCCATTCAATTGGATGGTGGCCTCAATCCATAAAAAGTTCTCGTTCTCTAGCCATTGTTAGAGGAATCTTCTTATGGGATGAATCACACTGAAAATATTCCATGTAACTTGACCAAGGCACAGATTAGCCAAGCCCCACCTTTTGTGCATTTTTGGGTGGACATAGCCACGCCCCTATTAAGCCCAAAGCTGGGACAGTTTCATCTGTGCCTGTGACGATGAAGCGACAAAAACCTGGAGCAAAACCTGACACCGCGACCAATATTCATCCGCAGGTTGCCACTTGGCTGGAGGCATTGTCTTCGCAAGTGCAGTTTCCAAAAAAGCTGTGGATCCTGCTGTTTTTTGGGGTGGTTGAACCAAGGACCAGAGTCAACCAATAATGGAAGTATCATCACATATGTAACATATGTATATGAATCCTATCTATCTATCTATCTATCTATATCTATCTATATCTATCTATATCTATCTATATCTATCTATATCTATCTATATCTATCTATATCTATCTATATCTATCTATATCTATCTATCTATCTATCTACCTACCTATCTATCTATCTATCTATCTATCTATCTATCTATCTTATCTATCTTATCTATCTATTTATCTATATATATATGTATAGATGTTCATCCATTTTCATACAACAATTCTATGTCTGGCTGATTATATTTCCCGAGCCAATCCAAGTAAACAATCCAAGCGCCATTTTCCAACGACGTATCGCCAGGATGCGCTACGTCAAACGGTGGCCGATGTTGCCGATGTGGAGGCTCAGCTAGAGAATCCAGACACAAAATTGGATTTTAAGCACTTACCCTATGGGATTTATAGGGATTTATAGGGGATATAATGGATAATACCCTATGGTTATTTAACATAGCCATGGTATAGATGGCCCATAGAAATAGTTGGTTTACCGAACTTAAAAATGGGTGGATCTTTCCATGGCTATGTGAGTCATAACCAGATGGTAGATAAACAATATTTCCAGTTGTTATTGGACATTTATATTATACACCATCAAAAATTATACTCATTTTTGTTACATATTTGTTGTTATTTATTATATATACACCATCAACAATAATAACACTATTTCCATATTCTACACATATTCTACACATTTTTTCGCACCATGATTTTCATGGTGA